TGTGTTGCCTTGGCAGTCTCAGAGAGGTGTAATACAGAAGTAAAACAAACTTGTTTTTTTGAACAAACATTTTATATTTTTTGTTTGTTTTTACATTGGATTACATTTACATAACTGAAATACGAACAAAACAGACTTCAATGAAAGCCATAGCCATATGTACCAGTGAATCATAATCTGCCCTTAATCTTTAAAGATAATATTTGCATTTATTTTATACAAAATAGACTTTATTAACCAGTATGAGGGTAGTGCAATTCCGTCAGGCTCTGGTAGATTTACTTTCACACGGAGATTAAACTTTTTTTTGTCTCATTTTTCTATTTTAAAGTGACCAGTAAATCCTCACAGCAATATACATGGGATCCAAAGTCTGGACCTTTACAAAAGATATCTTCGAAATAAAATAAGAAGTACTAGAAGTTCAATAATAAGTGCTACTTAAAATGTAACTGCTTGAATACTTCTTGTTTGATAAATCTTTTTTTTTCTCTCCTCTGCTTTGGTCACTCTTATATAACGCAAAAACCACCTCCCGCCTGCCTCACCCTCCCTCCCTCTACCTCGTTTCCTTATAACTTTAAAACACAGTGAGCATTCATAGACTTTCCCATTGACTCGTAGAATTTACATTTACTTCACAAGACAAACATGTTTAACACTTCCTAATGTATTTAACACGTCTACCTTTATCAAACACAAACAGAAAAATATTTACTTTCTCGATTTGTTCAATGTACAAAAAGGATTGGGTAAAATTATTCCTATCAAAGAGGATCAGGTTGATCTATTCAAAATCGCAGAAAATAGTCTTTTTTTTTTTTACACTAGATCAATCTCCCAAAGAATGATATTTGTTAGGGGTTTATCTATTTCCTGATTTAATATGATATTTATATGGCTCTCTGTCTCCCTTTCGCAAGGCCTTTACATGTAGTTGAAAGGTAAAATAAAAATGTATAGGAGTATAGAGGTAATGTCCTTGTAAAAATATGTTGTAATAATAGACACTGTTTACATTGCACTGGATATGTCGGCGCTGCTATATACACCTATGGCCATTTAGAGATGAGCAGAGATGTGGTTAGGTCTACATGTTAAAGCTGGTTTTTCTGAAGCACCCACCTGGAAACATCTCTAATACTGTATGCACAAGTCACCAAACAGACAGTTTAGTCAAATCTTCCCCCGGAATAATCCACATTAACGTGAGCGGCACAAGCCCGTGTTCTTCACAGCAAAAGGCCACGAGAGTTTACGAGTAAAGCTGAAAGCCTGCACTGTACACGAAACAACCCTGCTGTGAGTAACCATCCTCTGGCAGAATGGCTGATTAGAAACGTGATGGCTTTTATTGAATAGTGGCTTGGATGCGTCCAGAGTCTGCTGTGCTGTTAGCTGTGAGTAACACACAAATGACTGGTCTCTATGGCAACGTGCTACCTGGTCTGTTAACTGCCATTCAGAGTTATGTGCAGCAGAGGGATGAGTACCATGCAGAGTGAACAGCTGAAAATCTATACGGTCGACATTTTAGGCAGGAAAACATTGAGGAAAATGATGAAGGGGGGGGGTTGTGTTTGAGTTTTAACCGAAGCCAATGAACAACTGCACTGTGTGTTTTGCTTTGGCCATCACATAAGCTGGTATGAACATGTTTTCACATTACAAATGTATTAAATGCTGACCACCACCCGTTTAACAGTAGAAGATATTACTGTTGACCTTGCAATTTCAAAAATACAATATATTGTGCATATCCAAAAAAAGTCCATCATATACTTAACTTGGACAATAACAATCAGTACGTTTAAGCTGGTGTAGGTGTGACACTGAACATCTGAGCGCCCTGAAGCAAAGGTAAAAAAAAAAAAAAAAAGTGTTGTTGTCTCCAAACTGATTAATCACTCCTGCACATCTCCAGAAAAGACATATCAAAATGTGATACAACATTTGGCACTAGTGGAACACATCCAAGTGATGTAGTCACTCAGCCTGAGCTTTGATTCACTTTATTTGGATCAAACTGCATCTTCTTCCAAAAGATATCTCAATTGTAGAGGTGAAATCCTGTGCTGGGAACAGACGTTCCATACATTATGGGTGTCTCTATTTATATATTATTTGTCTATATCTCATATACAAAAAATATGTAATTATGTATGGAATTGAATTATCTTTTAATCGTGTTGAGTTAAACTACTTAATAATAAACCCACTTCCTGTTTGTGCAAACTATTTGAGATGAAGCTGATTGAAGGTTATATTTAATCTAAAATGCTACTTCGAGTGAAATGCAGTACTTTTGTCAACAATAATATGCTTTTTGTTTACCTGAATTAATATATGATAAAGTAATTGATGTCACTTCTCAGTACTTCTGAGGTTTGAGCATGGTGTAGTACTTACTGTTTTCATGGTACCTTATTTTGAAAACCCAACCAGTCTAGTAACCATTTTATAAAACCGTGAACTCTTTCCTTTTAGACCTTCCTGTGATTACTGGTAGTGGGAACAGGCAGTCTGACCAGGTAAGTCAATAAAACCACATTTAAAAGTCAAGTTGTATGAAACCATTTACTAAACGAGAAAGTAAGTATATGAAAGGGCAATTTGACTTTAAATCAGGCTCGCTTGAATCATGACGGCTATTTACTAATACACAGACGCCTTGGGTGTTCTTTTCCAGGCAATTTAGTTTTTAAAACCCCACCTGTGTGATTGCATCTGAATAAATTGCAACGGTTTGTAAACAATTTTGATTTAAATGAACCTTAAATATTATAAAACGTCAGATATGCCTAGTTTAATTCCAGTGGTGTCCATTTAGCACCGATGGGGTTGAAGATCGTTACAACCTTGTTAAAGAACTTGGATTTTATTTCACATTATATCTGTTGACATATTCTGTTTACTGGAACTTTAAGTAACTGATTGGGAGATGCAGTATATTAATCAAATATACTTTACATGGGAAAAAGAGACGCACATCATGTGTTTTGGGACTGATAGTTTCCCTGTCTATTTTCTGTGATTCTTAAACTTTCTTATGACATTAAAATATAAAATCTTCATATTTCATACTGCTCTGAGTATTTCTAACTTGTACAATAGGCTGTCTTCCTAAAGGAGCACACATCGGGGGGGGACGTCTGAGGATCAAATCAATGAGAGCTGCCCACACTAAAAACACAGAAAACAGCTGCTTGGAAAGGAAACAGAAATTGCAAGCGTGGAAAAACGAAAACATAAATAATATGTGGACATTTCTCAAGGTAGATAGTTATGCAAAAAGAAAAAACGTGGTTTATAGAGGATGGCTATGAAGAGCTTTAAAAGCTAAAAGGCACTGATTTTCCCTTCTCAGATACATCCTGTGTAAACATTTTGCTAAGTGAATGTGTGTCTGCAAATACTGTTGTATGTTGTGCATTTCTAAGCATGGCCTGCATTTGTGGTAAGAAATGCGTGTCTGCATAAAATAAATGAATATTATATATAATAATATTCCAGTTCTTTTCTTTCATTGGTCAGGTATATAAATCCGATTCAAATCATTTCAGTAATGATGAATGATTCACAGCTGAACACAGTTTGTCCTTAATGTCCTTTAGTCCAGAAGAAGAGATGTTCTCATGTTAGAGTATGCTTCGTGAACACGTACGACATTCTCTGTACAGTGGAGCTGGGGACGGGGGACGGACGACATATGGGCAGGTGAGCAGAGGAACTGTAAGCTTGAACTCGTACTTCAATACACTGCTAATCTAACAAGTTGGACACAATATGAGGTGTCGTGTTGAGGGCGGAAAAGGACTTTCTAGGTATTGGCTTGTCATTAAAAACAACAATACAAAACTGGAGGCAGGAGAGGGTAAGAGGCGGGCGGCCACCAAAAGAAACTGCATTAAAAACCTGAGGACAGGGCCATGGACGGAGGAGGGGCCTGGAAAAATGAAATAAAAAATAGATTCCCAAAATGCATCCTGCCCATGAGACATTCAACGCCAACATATTAATGACATTTTCTTCTTGGTTAGCCAAAAGGAAGGGCTTCAGGTCGGTGCTAGGGTTGCCCACAGTGGCTTGGCCCGACCCGGGACCACACGGGGAGGCGTGAGGCGATGGGAGGCGAGGGATTGTGCTCCGATATAAGGTTGACCGGCTGAGGCCTTGAGGGGCGTGGCTGAATTCCTAAAGGGGGCGGGCCTGGGAAAACGGAGGAATCAAATCCGAGTGCTGGGAGAGGCAGGACAAGAGAAGGTTTAGGGCCTGGGGCAAAAGCTTGGGGCCCCATGAGCGGTTCGTGGTCAGGGCAAGATTTAAGGCATTGCTTCACAGTTTAAGGCAGTCATTTCTGATGAAACAGCAGAGGCTTGACGCTCCCATCTTTAAATTTTGGTATTTGGTTGGTGATGATCTCTGCCAGCATCTCCGGGAATTCCACACTGAGGGTTTTATTCACAAAGGTGTAGAAACAGATCTGGAGAAGACCCTCCACCATCTGGAAGAGACATCCACAGACAGACAGATTAGTGAGTCTATTAGATATTAAATAAAATGTTGCAGGATTAACATCGAATTAGCCTTGGATTCTATATACAGAAGGTCTTTACTTCTGCAATAAAGAGGCTTTACAGAGAGCGATAGATATAGAGAGCTTGTAACAGCTTTGAATGGAACAGTAATGCACTTAGTGGGATATGAGTTCATGCTTCAGGGTTTTAGACTAACCACCATGGTGCAGGGAACTCAGTGTAAGTTATTGATGCACAAAAACAAGCCTGGCTGGTATGAAAAAAGAGTGTGTGTGTGTGTGTGTGTGTGTGTGTGTGTGTGTGTGTGTGTGTGTGTGTGTGTGTGTGTGTGTGTGTGTTTATCTGACCTCCTGCATTGAGTCCAGTAGCTTAGTTAGCTGGTAGAAACGCTGCCAGTTCTGACTAGCGTTCTCCTCTCTTTTGACGATAGCTTTCCCCAGTTCCTTGATGTACGTCATCCTGATCTCGTCAAACACCGCCTGGCTCTTCAGGCCGTCTTTCGGTACTAAACACATAAAACACAGATGCAGACACCAAGAGACAGAAGTGTTAAAGTTATCTGGCAATAGCAGGATTGCTACTTACAATAAAAAAGATAATAACAAAAAGACATTGTAAAAATCAAATATTCTAAATGTTTTATTGTGGCTGGAGCTCCAGTCTTCTACATCTGTGCCAAACTGAAAATCCAGCAGCTTTATTTTGTACTCTGCTGCAAAAAACAGTCATATACATTAATATTCCACTAAAACTTATTGTGTAGGTCCCCAACCAGGACACTTGGAAGATGTTGACTAAGAACCAGAATGCTGTAGGCAGTGGGAAATATGCAACACTAAACATATATAGCTTTTATGCTAAATGTTCCGTAACTGGTGTGGCCTGGATGAGGATCTGAGAGAGGAGCAGTTAATGTCTTCATCAAAATCACAAACTCTGCATTTACACTTTATTTTAAAGATCACACACTGGAGTTTTGGACTGTGCTCGTCATGGCCGAAGAACATCAAAATGCAGTTGTCATAACAACCATGTCAACACACCACGGACCCCTCGTCAGTCTGGTGTCTCGCACTGCGCCAAGGCAAAGCCACAGTAACGGGCCAATAGATTATGCAAAGCCACAGAGGGCATGGTCGGGGTGAAATGCTGTCTGTTTTACATAATCAGATAAATGGGAGATACCACAGTGCACATGCTATCTGGCCTCCTAATATGCATTGGCAAAGAGTGTATGAGGGAGACAGAATGCCTATCCTGCGTTCTATTTTGGATAAAAGAAAACAATGTGTTGTTATATAACACTTAGTAGAGAAGAGCTCTAATTACCTATTTGGGCTTTTTTAAATACCTTTTTAAATTCTGTCTTCAAATGTGCTGAAAGTGAAGTTGGCCCTCTGAACTTTTCACTTGTGTTTAACAGTAAATCAAATGGTCCCATAGGTCACTTTTCACTCACATGCATGATAAATGATTAAAACAGCTCAAGGCAGCTGACAGTATTTCCATCCCGTAGGGGAACAGATGGAAACAGCTCTTAGGTACGAGAATGCAAGAAGGGCTCAGTGTGGAAATGTCAATTCCTCTGCATAACGAGAAAATCACCTCGAAAGTGCATCCTGTCCCCTTCACAGGGAGTGAGGCATAGGGAGGAATGCTCCACTCCTCACAACACAGTTATTAACATAATTAGGAAGACATTTGATTCAGTTTAAAAGCTGAAAATGTAAAGGGCACTCACTACAAAGTTAGACTAGTAGGCCAATGCTTTTATAGCCAGTATTGGGGAGAAAGCATTTAATGTAACATCGTGTTTGTGTATTATACTGTGACATAAGAAACTTAGTTGACCTCACTGTGATGTTTATCATTTTGAGACAAGCTACTGGACCGAATGTATGGTTACGATACAGGGCAGCTTTCCGTAAATGGGAGAACGAAAAGGGCTGTCCAAGAGATGAAGTACCTGTGGGACACTTTAAGATCTTTTCAACTGAAACAGTGACTACAGAAGATGAACAGACTGTACTTTTGCAAAAAAAACTGTTTTCAGGAAAGCTTAGAAAACTGGATGGCGTGATGGAGTTGTTACAAAAGCCCTCTGTAGGGTAAAAAGCATCTTAAGACAGGATCATACCAGTAAAAGGTCAGAAAGTGTTAATATCCAGATTTAAGACACTTGATTTTAAACGTCTTGTCTTTTCAGGGCACAACATTTAACTGTGGGTTTGTATGGTTTTGCTGCATTAATCATAAAGCTAAAATAGTTTCATAAATTGTGTGCAAGTGCGGATCAAAATGCTTTGATTATGCAAAAGGGAACAATCGAGTGTGCGTTGTGGTACAGATATTTTTTTTTTAATGTGTATTTAAAAAAACTGAGCTTGGAACTGAGAGATAATCTATTCAAATCTATCCTATCTGCCACACATATGTACTCATCCACGCTCAACGATAGTGCGAAAGCATGAGCCTACATTTGCATTTACGAAGCAGTCTGTCTGCATTCCACTAAGTGTGCTACCCTACTGTGAGAAAGTGAGCTAATAGGCTGCAGCAGTAAAACCTAGTTTTTAAAATATAAAAGGTGATAATTAATGAATTCTACAATAAGTGCTGAGGTTTGTTCCTGAAGTATGAAAACACAGCATTACAGTATATGTGATTTACAATGAGAAGCTTGTTCATTACCTGTGCTAAGCAGCAACAGGACCTTCATGCACAGGTACTCGTCATAGGACACCTGCAGTCGGACAAACTCATTACAGATTTTCAGCATCTGCTCGCACTGGTCGGTCATGAAGGGCAGCTTCATGCGATCTCTGAAAAGAAAGGGCAAGGGAGAAAGTGGAGATGAGGGAGACGTGTGGAACGGATGGAGCCAGAGACAAGAAGGAAAACACAGAGATATAGATTAGAGTTAAACTCTTTCACTCATCCTGTTATTAAAGTCTAAATAAACAGCCCCAGCAGGAAAGCGCCAAAACCGTGAAAGAGAAAAACCGGACTGTGAAATCAGTCTTGATGGATTTTCACACCTCACTTCCACTAACACACAGCACGTATTACTTTCAACCTCTAAAATCAATACAGCGCATTCTTCTCATGCATAGCCTTGGGTTTAGAGAAGTCTATTCATTCTGCCCAGCTGCAGTGCTACCGGTGAAGACTTGTTCACCTTTCATATCTATTTTTACCCCTCTTGCAGTTTGTGTCCTTAGAGAGCGGATGTTCACAGTTTGGGCCTACTCTTTCTACGTACATCCAGTAAACACGAGCTGTTTGCACCTTGTCAGGGGCGAGAGCTCAGTGTCTGTAGCAAGTCAATATGATTCGAGAAACCTTCATTAGTTGGGGAAATGAACACTGCACTTCTAAATTCCTACTGGTCTCATCAGACTCCTTAAAAAAACTAAATCCATGACCAGAATATCTGCCAGGTAATTTTTCAAACCGTAGTAACCAAGATGTATCTCAATCTCAAAGTATTTAAAATGATCACTGAAATGTTGTGCTTTGATCAAAGATCAAATATTACAATAAGATACATTAATCAAATACAAAAACATTTATGTATTTGTTTGAGAAATCAATACACCAGGATGCAATTAGCTTACCTGAAACAGTGGAAGCATGGCGGTAGATAGCTACTTAGCTTCGTCAAGAAGCAACAAATACCTAAAGTATTTAACTTCCTATAAAACCCCAAATCTAGAAATAAGCGATTAAAGGATGCAAAAGATGAATAACTGTGCTGTAAATGTGTGTATTTGTAATCTTTGGACAGAACCAGGCTAGCTGTTTTCCCCTAGTTAATGCTAGGCTAACCCAATCAGCTCCTGGCAAATAAACCCTAATTTCCCCTGTACAAAGGTCTTTGTCTAAAAACACATTGTGCCATTAGCGGTTTCTTTTATCATGATTTAATAAATAAACATTCAGCGAATTATTTCCAGTAAACTCAAGAGTCATTGGCAAGTGGTTAAGCCAAGTGATGAAGTCAGACACTCTGAAATGAGCAAACGAAGAATAGGCTGTAAAAGGTTGTGCTGAAGAAAAGACTGCATAAACACACAAAAGCTGCCCTTGGTACGCACTTGTTGATGACGAGATCAGGGGCGAAGCAGAGCATGCTACCGTTACACTGCTCGTACGACCTCCAACCCAGACTGAAGGACATGAGGAAGAGCCATGAGCACTGCAGCAATGTCATCTGGTCATCCAGGTGCAGGTTGCGGAAGCCTTGGAAAGTCAGATAAAGTGGATTAGAAAGTTACATTTGAACATTAAGTCCTTTGTTGAAGACCTTAGCCCAGAGGTCGGCAACCCGCGGCCCTCGAGCCACATGCGGCCCTTTAAGCCCTCTGCTCTGGCTCCCTTGAGCTTAGACAAAAATAAGAAGGAAATAAAATAAAAGTATTTGTAGGACTATTTATATTTTGTTACACGGTTGAAAATGTTTCGTATCTTGTATTTTGAGGTGATACTGTCACACATAAAAAAATTAAAAAAAATTAATTGTGTTAATTAGGTCAACTAAAATATGCGTCATATTCTGCTACGGTCCCGCACCAGCGCATTTGCTTGCAGGCGAATAACCTGACCCCCGGCTCGATGAGCGAACTATGGATAAATCAAAGAAAATAAAAGTATCAGAGGAACACAGGATTTAATTCTGCGTGGTTAGAGTTATATGCTTTCACATCAGACGATGCTGGCTCACCGGTATGTTTGATATGTGGAGTGAAGTTGTCAAAGGTGCTGCAGCCTTTACATATATGGGAGGAAAAACACGGAAGAGGAAGACAGCTGACGATCTTCAGTCATAATTCAATAAGTTAACTCTTTTTAGGGTGCAGCTATATGTTTTATTTATTTCAAAGTGGGCCCATTTTAATTATATTAACTTTCTTCAAATGTGCAGAGGACTCCCGAGTGCTGTGTTGATTTATTTTAAAGTAGACCTGTTTATTTGCTTTAATTCTCCTTATAAGAGTTCTTCGTTTCTTATTAGAGGTAAACAGTTTTCTTATGTAATAAATAATAAATGCAAAAAAACTGTAGTTTTTGTCTATGATGTAACAATATATACAACTTTATAAGCTATCAAGCTATCAAATATGTTTTGCGGCTCCAGACAAAGAAAATTGGTGGAAAAGGGGGCAAAATGGCTCTTTTGGTCAAAAAGGTTGCAGACCCCTGCCTTAGGTCAACAGAACAGTATTTATTAAACTGCATTTCATTCAAAATAGTGTAAAATGTGTTTTAAGTGATTTACTAGGGTGAAGGCGTATGTTGCTGCCTGAAATATATTTCACATAATGAAGTTTGTTTTATAAAGACGGACAGCAAAATATTGGCTAAAAGAGATGAAGAAACATTGAACAAATTGAAATGTAATTACCCAATACATAATTGAAAGACAACAAACCAAAATAGTATGTTGTAGTTCAGTAGATGTTCAAATTGGAGTACAATTGCAGTTCCAACTTTTACACACCATTAAAACCCTAAATGTGAAACATCAGATGAAAAGCCCTTTCACATTACCTTAGTATGAAATCCAGGCTTTTAGACGAAAAGTGGCGAGGGGTCACACTCTCCGAGAATCAGGAACAATAATCTGCTGATTACCGGTCACGGCCTGTGTTGCATCACTACTGTTAGGTTCTCATTATGAACAGGTATGAACTTATGACGTGACATGGCCTATACCGGTGAGAAGATTCGTAGTTTAACTTTTCATTTATAAACGTTGATTGTGAACCCGTGATGCTATACCACATCGCAAAATGAAGAACGGAGGCGATTTGAGGTTGGATTGGGATGTGAACGAATTTATATGGATACTCTGAAGGCGGGCTCATCGGTGTTCAGTTGCCATTTGGTTATTACGATTTTTTTACACTACCAAAATGGACTTCCTTGTATTGTAATAGTATGAATATGCTTTCAGTTGTCACTTTGGCCGATTCTACCGAATTTTGTGGCCACAAAAGTTCGGTGTACAATTGAGAACGGTGTGAAGTTCGAAACCTACCCCCGGAAAAGTCTAAATTGTGACATTAGACAGATCGACTAGTGCACCTAAGCATGTCAAATTAAATATTCGTTTATTCTCTCGGAAACACATCGACTAAATTTAGGACAAATCCGGACCAACGGTCAATTCAATAGAGTTAACCGACGTCACCACAAGTAAGACTCTACATAAATGTACATTTCTGACATGTCTATAATGATTGGGTACACTTACAGGGAGGGCAACCTTCCAAGTAGGTTTCTTTGGGTGTGTAACAATCGATGATAAATGATGGTTTTGCAGCACCTTATACGGTATGAGCTGTTTTGTCCTGCATATTATTGAAGTGAAATCTTTGCGATGTGGCTAAGTTTCATTAAAAAACACTATGTCTCCAGGTCCGACTCAAATTATACTAAACATTACACGGTATTTTCTAATACAAGTATGTGCTGGACATGAGCGCATTTGTAAAAGATTTCCGTTTATATATATACCGGCGGTTGGTAGAAGATAAAAATAAAATTTCGATAGTTTATGACATAAACACAGTCACAGTAGAAGAAGATTAATGAAAACGCTTTGAGACACCCTTGTAATATCTAATCTTAAAAGTTAGTATGTCATCTACGTCGAATATATGAAATGATAAAAATGACAACGGAGTTCATCGAATTCTAAGTACAGTATTTATAACACACTTTTTACGACCTAAGTAACGGACGCATCATGGAAAAAGGTCTTTTTGAGTAACAACGTGGGGGTGTACGATCAAAGATTAGTACTCTTTCTTCGGTGTACTGAAACTATTTAGCGAGAATTTAAAACGAAACCTTAAAGAAAAGAAGAGTAACATTAACAACGATAACAAGGTGTGATTTAGAACCATAGTCTAAAGATTTAAGTTTTACATTGGAAATAAAGTGAGCACAAAAGAGAAAGACCCTTCCATACTATTTCCTGTTTGGACCGTGGTTACAAAGTAGAACACGTAACAGGTGTCGACCGTGGTACGGTTCACTATCACTCCTCTTCGAGAATGACGTCCCACACCCCCCNCACACATTTGGTTGTTTATTGCATAAAGAACATCTGATTTAATGTGAGGTAGGGAAATAATCATTTGAGTATGTGTATATAAATATGTAATTTACAACAGCTGTAAGATGCTTGAAAAGCTGGAAAATGCACCTTGAAAATGCTTGAAAAGTGCTTGAATTTGACTTTGGAAAAGGTGTAAGAACCCTAAACTAGAAAACGTCAGGGATTACTTTAAGGATCATAACATACCCCCTTCATGACTTCAGAGGCCTGTACTACGAAGCTGGTTCAACCTAACCTGGATATGTTTGAGTTAGCCGGTTGGCCTAAACTACGACGCGGGTTATCAAGTGGATCGCTCAAGCCAGCCGTGTCCTATCTAGTTAGAAAGGGGTGGTATTTGGAGCATTCGACCAATCACAAACATGGAGAAGCATACTGACAGCGCAGCGTCATACTTCCTGAATGAAAAGTCAACTATAATTATACAAATATGAAGACGTTAAACTTTAAACATCCATGACTTAAACACTTTATCCAGGATAAAAGCCACATAGTTGCACCTGCAAGGTGAATACAGCTGGTAACAGAAAAAGTGTTTGAATGCGTACATTAACAGGTTTATGATATCACTGCCCCATCTAAGACACGATCTGACTTTAATTAAATTTGACTCGAGTGTTTTTTCTACTTAATGTGTTGCTTAAAATAATACTTCTGCTAACAGTATGTGACGCTGTGAGTGTTGCACGGCCAGATACGGCTCAAGAAGCTGACTCAGAGAAGGAAATATATGATACATTATGATGTGATGTGATATGAATGATAATGGGACACATCGACGTCTGCACCCACAGTGCTGCGGACTGTACGTAATGTTACTTTGATCCGGTTACTTATGTTGTGGCAGATATTTAAGTAAGCTTTCTTAACGCTAATGTTATAATAGTCAGATTGCTCTGAAGATGGGAGGTGATATTCTATTAATTTTCACGTTCACACAGTCGTTGATTTTTGCCGGCCGTCTTTCCTGCAACGGCAGTCTAAACTGTATTTCCTTTATCCTGTAATATGACTTGATAGCTTTAAACTCCGCACACTGAGCGGTGCTTTCACTGAGTTGATCTCTCATACCTCATTCACACCAACGGTGTCTCAGGGCCGGTTCGGAGCTGGAGCTTGAAAAGCACCAGGTTTTCCTCTTCACACCGCAGCGGAGCAGCCTCTTAGCTCCGGAATCCGGTTCATTTCGAGCACCAAAAAATTGTCCGGCCAGAGCAAAAGCACCACATACGTCACGCTTACATCAACTACTGAACAACAACAAAAATCCGGCGTTTTATCCAGTTTGTACACAACGATGGAGAAACTTAACAAGCAGCAGTGGTCCACTGAAGAGACCAGCTACCTACTGGGAATCTGGTCTTCCGAAGAGGTACAGAGGAAGCTGGAGCACAATCGGCCATTGTTGTTGTTGTCGGTGTCAGCTGTGAGGGATTTCCAAGCGGTTTGGCTTTATGAAGCAGGCAAGCAAACGGTTACGTCATGACGCAAACGATGACGCAATGACGCAGCACCAGTCGGACTCTGGGCAGTGTGAAAAGAGCCGGAGCTAAACCGAAGAACCGGTTCTGAACCTGAAAAGCTCTAGCACGGAGCTTGAACCGGAGTTGCGTTGGTGTGAATGAGGTATAATTGGGCTCACTTTTCTTAGCACAGATATAGAACCAAACCAAATCAAAGGCAACACGTGTTTAGGAGCTTTTTGTTACCTGGCAGTGACTTGGCCCACTTGACTGCAGAGATGACCTGCTGCCCCCCAAGCCTGTTGAGAGTGGTCATGAGCCGCGTAGAGGTGTCCGGCAGAGTGCTGTCGTAGCCCGAGTAAATGATCTCTGGCTCAATGGCCTTTAGCACAGACAGCATGGTGGGCACGAGCTGAGGGATGGGTCTGGGGATGCCCGGAACAAGCATGTTGCTGGTGGGCTCTGAGGGTCCAGAAGGCCGCTGCACCTTCATCTTGATCAGCTTCTTGTTTTTCCTCGCTGGGAGACAGGCGAAAGGGAAATCAAAAAAAAAGAATGAGCAAAGAGTCATACTTATTCGGCAAAGGTGGCCATGCTTTCAACATTTGTATTTGAATGATTTCTGATATTACAACCAACAGCATCTACACAACTGAAGAGTACAATTAAAGATCAAAGCAGCAAGATGTTGGTTAGGGTTTAATAGACGATACACTTGGATTATTGTGATTACTGAAATTAATTTGATGGAAAGTCATGTGTTTCCTCCAGACAGGCATGTACTGTTTGTTATAAAATGTACAGACTGCCGACAGAAGAAAGAGAGATGTTCATACAGTAAGCCATTTCCACTCTAAATGAATCTGTCATATATTTTCCTGATTAGCTGATTAATAATTGTGTCTATAGAATATCAGAAAATAGTGTTAAAAATGTTACAATTTTCTAGGGGCAAAAGTGATGTCTTCAAATGTCCTGTTTTTGTTATAAAACAAAAAAGGGACAAATGTGTACATTAGACAACTTTTAAATTGTTGCTGTAGATCATATTATTTATGAATTATTAAACATCATATGTAATAAAAATTACCATGGTACGAGTTTAAAGTTTTGTGCAATTACTTTGAACCCAATTAATTGTAACAAACCAGTGAAAGGTCGTGAGAATGTAGCATGCCGGTTTTTACACAGGTATGAGCCATAAACTCTTCACTATCTGAACAAAAAAACATTCCCTTTCTCAGAAGAACATTAAAACGTTTTTTTCTCAGTTTCTCAGTAGCAAATTGCTTTGTTGACGCACACATGTAGAATATCTGGCCATCGTTTTAGAAATGTCTACCACTAAATGTGCAAAAACATATCAGGGGTTGAGAGGTTACCATGAAAAAACATGTTTTTTTCTACTCTACCTTTTTTAATTTCCTCTCCTGGCGTTTCTATAGCAACTGAGAGCCTTTCTGGGATCCTGTCTGCTGATGCGCTGACGTCCATCAAATCCCTCTCCCTTTCTCTCTGTCCTCTGCCTGTAGCAAACTACTTTCACCTCAGCCTGACAAACACTGCACTGTCTACAAGTAATCTCACTCCACACTGAGCGTGATTTCATGCCCCGAGGAAGCATCAGCTGAAATAACCTAACAACCAAATTCTGAGTAGTTGTGCTTCACTTTTTGCTTACCATGTCCATCTCCCAAAAAATGTGACTTCTTTAATTGTTTCTCCCTCTCTTAACCATTTATCCTTTGAAGCAGTATTAGGTGAAGGACCAGAAAGTGTTCCAAGGCTCTAGAGGCGGGACTTGACAGTAGATTTTGAATTGACGTATGTTCCTGAGGAGCTGGAGCTCTCATACTGCCTCAGCTGTAAACGAGCACATGTGTACAGAACAGCACATCTATTGACAATGGCTTAGACACTCGCACATGTTCACAGGTGAGTGACTAACGCCAGAAGACACACATTCACAAATCCAGAGTCTCATAAACCAGCAACATTTCAAAAAGGACTTTGAGATCTGCTTTCGTTTCTCTCACTGTCAATATCTATCTAAAGTAAATCATTGTAACTGCTAAAAGTGAAAAGCCCACATAGTGAGTAATAATACCCTCATTGTATTCCTACAGGAACAGATTAAGATTATTACATAAGAAGTAATTGTGAGGAACATCAACAAATAAAAAAGTTAAGGCAGAGGCAGAGATCTTTTAAGATAAGGAGAAATTACAATATGGTAAGTAAAAGAGGAAGATATAAGGGACAGTATGTTTGAATTATGTTTGCTCTGTGAATGCATGCCTTACAGCACTGCTTTAATTGCCCATTACATACTGTTTGTTCATAGCAATGGTAATAAGTTATTCAATATTTAATTAGTTGATATACCCTTCTTGGTTGTTTATTTATGTTGAGATGGAACATTTCCCTCATGTCATATTGTTTTAAATACAATACTGCTTTCAACAAGGATCTAGGCTACTGTCTTTACCAATAGTATTCCAACAACAACCTTTGAATGTAAAATCACAGAGCATACTGTCTTTGATTTGACATGATTAAACATATCTCAACATGTTAAGATCTATGGGAACAGCTTAAAACAGTACTATAAATAAGTAAGTACATTATCTCCATTACTTAGTGTTAAACTACAACCAAGATTATATATTTTCATTTTTCCAGTTATCATACGAGACATGCTGGAGGTTGTAGTGGAAAAAGTGTGTAGCAGGGCTGCAGAGCCAATCACATGACACTCAATGAAGGGGAATTACAGAGGCATAGTTACAAAAAAAAGAGTAAAAGTTCCAATTCTGTGTCACTGTGTGATTTCTATAATCTCTTGGTTAATATTCCAAATATATGTCCAAGTTAACATTGTAAAATGTAAAAATGTTTATGATGATTGCACTTTGAGAATGTATTATACATTTATTATAACAAATATGGCTCCATTCCTAGGGTCTTGAGTGATCATCACCCATCATATGAAACCTCACTTGACTGTTATCAAGTATGTAGCCAGCAAAGCAATATCACAGAAGCAGTTGTCAGTTGTCAACATTTAAAGGTCTCAATTTTAATTTCTCCCTTATGCTCAGCTGTGAGGTGGGTAAGGAGGGAGTGGGTGGAGTCTTCGCTAGGCCACGCCCTATTTGAAGAAAAACCCTGAAATAACTCCACCCTAACGACCTAATCTGTTTGGAAATTCCACACATTATAAAAGCAAAAGGACTGCTGTCCCACTTTAAACTCAGTTATAATTAACTTGTTCCACCCTGAGCCTGTTTTTCAGGTCTCAGGCTCGAAATGACATTCCCAGAACACATGACCGTATCTTCCCTTCTAAACGGGTTAAATTAATAATCTTTGTTCTCAAAGTAATGATAAACCTGTGAATTGGATGTAGAAAAGTCAGAATCAATATAGATGTTTTTTATTTTAAAGAAAATTCAGATTGAACATAGTAAAAAACTGTAAATTATAGTGTCCGTCCAAAAATTATTTTTTACTTATAGTGAAAACTACCCTTGGATGATGGGTTAGTAGACTAAAAGCTTTAGGAATCCAAAGTACAACATATAATAAGTACCCTGTATCAAGATTGATGCAAAACAAGTGACATTTGACCTTTTTAGACAGATTTAGCACCAAAAAAAACACTTCTGGGGTCATTTGGGTGGATTTGACCTATCTCTGGCCCCCCTTGGTCGATTTTGACGAATGAAATATCTCTTTCTGACCGTTAGAGCCAATAGAATCGAAGGGAAATCGTCCCGCACACACTCATGTTAAAAAAAAAGTTGCGTCTCTGCGCATTCAATCTTGCTACAGAGCGTAGGAATGGCCTGCTCTACTATTTCAAAACGGAATTGCAGTTTTGCAGTTTGCAGTTTGCTTATAGATTATCAGAACATTTCAAAGGGGACACAGCCACATTGGATATTAACCTATGGATTAACTACATCATCGTTGTTATCGTTTTAATGCCATTGA